TTTTACCAACTCATTCCCTTGTGTAAAACCCTTCCATGGCTCCCATTACCTAGAGAATAAAGCCAAAGCTCCTCGGTGTGCATACAAGTTGCACCATGACCTGCTATTGTTGACCTTTCCAATTTTCTACTTCTCACCCTTCTCTACCATACCTTAAGTTCCAATCATATCAATTGCATTTACAAAACTCTGAATTACTGTGGAATTTCACACTTCCATGCCTTTGCATATTCTCTGACATATATCTAGAATCCGTCCTGGCTATCTATTGCTGCATAACAAACCAATCCAAAACTTAGTGGCTTAAATCAATCATGTATTATTAACACAGGCTCAGCTGAGTGGTTCTCACCTGGGGTCCCTTCTATTGTTGAAGTGAAATGATGGCTGAGGTCAGAGTCATCTGATGGCTTGTTTACTCATGGCTGGCACCTGCGCCAGGATGGCTGAATCAGCTCAAGCTGGCTAAGCATCTCCCCCGCTCTCCACATGACCCTCTATGGGGTTGTTTGGGCTTCCTCACAGCATGGCCATTACAGAACTCTACATGGCATCTAGTTTCCCACTAAATGCATTCTAAGAGACCCAGGTGGAACTAACAGCCTTCTTATGATCTAGCTTTGGAATTCTGTCAGAATCATTTCTGCCATTTTCTTTTGGTCAAAGCAGTCACAGGCCAGCCCAAATTCAAAGGAGTGGAGAAATAGACCCCACCTCTCAATGTGGGATTCTGTTGCCTGTCTAGAAAGGGTAGGAATTGACGGTGGCCATCTTGGAAATGAATAGTTATAATGTCATTTTACCCTCTTGTTCTGGCAAATTGCTATTTGCTCATTTAATTCCCAGTCAAATGTCACTTTTGTGAAGTCACCCCTTTTCTACCAAGGCAGAATTAACCTCTAAGTCTGAGAAATTTATTCTGGAAAAATTGGGAAAATAAGTTAGGAAGGAAGACTGTTCTTTGAGTATGCGTCAGTCACCATCCTTGCCACACTGCACAGTACTTGGTGTTTCTCCTACTTGACCATACATTTTTTGAGGGCAGCTCTATATATACCTGATTTATCTCTGTGTCTTTAGGATCTAGCTTAGCAACCAACATAAGTGCTCAATAAATAGTGATTGAGGTAAGTACATTTAATTATAACTTTTGTAATTTTGCTCCCAGGGCCTATTACCCTTAGAACCAAGCAATCAGCCTGTCACAGAGAATTTGTGGAACCCCTCCTGTGTACCCAGCATATCAGCTTCCATTATGGGGCTTCAGTTCTCTATATTTTGGGCTTCCACAAAGATAATAAGTATAATATTGAACTTGTATTGAATGTTTATTACCTGCTAGGTATTGTTCTAACACTTTATATGTACAATATTAATTAACCCTCACAATAATCTCATTTTTTTAGGTTGGTGCAGATGTAACTGCAGTTTTTGCATTGTTGAAATTTGCCTTTGATATTGGAATATATTCTTAAATAAATGTGGTTATGTCATACATCATTTTAATGTGCATTTCTCACTTTATGTTTTTTTGCTAATGACTTATTACTTGCTGTTTATTTTATATGTGTTTTAGACTATGGGAATGATGTTAGACATAAAGCAAATTCAAGTGATTTTCTTATTCATGTTCAAAATGGATTTTCTTATTCATGTAAAGCAGCGGAGACAAGTCACAACATCAACAATGCGCTTGGCCCACGAATTGCTAACGAGCGTACAGTGTGCAGTGGTGGTTCAAAAAGCTTTGCAAAGGAGATGAGAGCCTTGAAGATGAGAAGTGCAGTGGCTGGCCATCGGAAGCTGACAACGACCAATTGAGAGCAATCATTGAAGCTGATCCTCTTACAACTACACGAGAAGTTGCCAAAGAACTCAACGTTGGCCATTCTGTGGTCATTTTGGCATTTGAAGCAAATTGGAAAGGTGAAAAGGCTCGATTGGGGTGACTGGTTAGCTCAGTTGGTTGGAGTGTCATGCTGATGATACCAAGGTCGCTAGTTCAATCCCCACATGAGCTATTGTGAGCTGTGCCCTCCTTGAAGGAGTCAGTTATGCCATTGTAGCATGGGGGCAATGTGTAGCCAATGACCATGGCTGTTCCCCAATAAAAATTTTAAAAATTAAAAAAAAAAGAAAAGCTCGATAAGTGGGTGCCTCATGAGCTGACAGCAAATCAAAAACATCGTCGTTTTGAAGTGTCGTCTTCTCTTATTCTACACAACAACAATGAACTATTTCTTGATCGGAACGTCATGTGCAATGAAAAGTGGATTTTATATGACAACCAGTGATGGCCAGCTCAGTGGTTGGACCTAGAAGAAGCTCCAAAGCACTTCCCAATGCCAAACTTGCATCAAAAAAGTCATGGTCACTCTTTGGTTGTCTGCTGCCCATCTGAGCCACTATAGCTTTCTGAATCCCGGCGAAGCCATTACATCTGAGAAGTATGCTCAGCAAATCGATGTGATGTACCAAAAACTACAACACCTGCAGCCGGCATTGGTCAACAGAAAGGCCCCAATTCTTCTCCACGACAACTCCTGACCTCACGTCACACAACCAACGTTTCAAAAGTTGAGCGAATTGGGCTACAAAGTTTTGCCTCATCCACCATATTCACCTGACCTCTTGCCAATCGACTACTACTTCTTCAAGCACCTCAACAACTTTTTGCAGGGAAAATGGTTCCACAACTAGCAGGATGCAGAAAATGCTTTCCAAGAGTTCGTCGAATCCCGAAGCACAGATTTTTAATGCTACAGGAATAAACAAACTTATTTCTTGTTGGCAAAAATGTGTTGCTTGCAATGGCTCCTATTTTGATTAATAAAGATGTGTTTGAGCCTAGTTATAATGATTAAAAATTTACAGTCCAAAACCGCAATTACTTTTGCAGCAACCTAATATCTATTATTTTTCCCATCTTGTAGATGCTAAGACACAGGGAGGCTAGGTAATTTCCCCAAGGTCACAGAGCTGAGATATAGACCAGGCCCCAGAGTCTCTATTCTTGGCCTCTGTGCTCTCTCCACTGATGTCCTCTCCTGAGCTCAGCATTTTCAGAGCATGCAGAATGTCACAGAGATAATAAGGGATATCACATGAGAAATATCAAAGGAACAAAGAGTTTTTAATCTGAAGAAGAAGCTACTTGGCGACAAGTCCCTATGGACGCAAATACTCGAAAGATTGACTTTTCTGTGTCCTCCACTGGAGTCAAGACCAGTGGTGCCTTGGTGTGATGGAGAGCTTTCTGATGCCCCCTGATAATTTGGGCTCCCCGAAAAGTCATGAATCCCACATCTCTTGGAGGATGTATGCCAGTGTCTCTTCTGACATTAATTGTCCTTTTCCCCTCACCACCTTCTTTCCAGTGTATGAAAAATGTGGTATTTCCTTACTTGGCATGAGATTTTGAAAGTGCAATTCATGTTTATTAAGCACTAAGCAGTCTTCAGGTGGAAGAGAGGATGAGCTGTGCATGATTACGTGTTCCAGTTCTCTCTGATGTTAGTACCTAGAGGCTCAGGCATCTGAGGAAGCTTAAATAATGTAGAAAGCATAACTCCTTGATGTCTCTGACTTTACCAGGATTTACTAGTACCTATATGAATAATGAAAGGTTATTTTTTAACGTTGAGAAAATTATGTATCTTATCCTTCAAAACCTTCCATATTCATGATTGCCAATTAGTACCCTGATTTGGCAAATTCCTGGATGCTTCGGTTCAGCAATTACATGTCTCAAATCCAGTAAAACAGTATGAGGCTATTTCATTTTTCTGGCCTGCCGGCAGATTCCACAGTAGCAACTGGGATGACCTACTGCAAATTGGAAACTCTTCCCTCTACCTATTTCCTTGCAGACATTGGCTAAGTACACATTGATTTAATAACATGGTTTCTTAGCACAGCCAAAAGACTGTGAGCATCTCAGCATAATTTAGAGGCTGAAACATTTAGAAGTTTCACATGAATGCCTTAAGTCAAAATCACAGATATTAGGCCTCACCGCCCTGTAATTCTTATTAACAGTGTGTTTCTTTTTTTACATGTCTATGTCTCCCAGCCAAAGACCAGTCCTCTCAGGGGGATGAAGAGAAAGAGCCTCCAAAGAGCCACCCCTACTCCGTGGAGACCCCATATGGCTTTCATTTAGACCTGGACTTCCTCAAGTATGTGGATGATATTGAGAAGGGAAACACCATCAAAAGAATTCCTATCCACAGACGGGCCAAGCAGGCCAAGTTTAGCACTTTGCCCCGAAACTTCAGCCTTCCCGACAGTGGGGCTCGCCCTCATGCTGCTCTTCCCCACCAAAACTGGTCCCCAGTGGTGCTGAGGAAGGTGTCCCTCGGGACAGAGGAGCGAGCTCAGTCACTACCGCTTGGCGATCACCCCCAAGCCTCCGCCAGTGGGGGTGAGGTGAGCTATCACAGGAAGGCCCTATTGGCAGAGACCGTTAGACATCTGGAGGCTGCCGCTCCCCGGGAGACCGAGCTCGCCTCCGGGAGCGGACGGCCCCAACTGTTGAGAGCGTCCAGCATGCCAGCCACACTGCTGCAAACCAGGGCCTCAGAGGACCCCAGCCTAAATTCAAGTCCCCCTTCACCGCCCGCTCTCCCTCCACTTCTGGGCGAAGGCAGTGTCTGCGATGGTGCTTTTGGCCCCGCAGAAGGATTTTCAGGTTTTCACAACTCCACCCCACGAGCAGCAACCCAACAAAAAATCAAAGAGTTTGGAAACCTGGTGTCAGGGATTCCTGAGCTGGTCCAGGAGGGGGCTGAGCCTCCAGAGGGTGTAAAAGAGGTTCCACATCACCTCTCTTTCCCAACTGCTCCTTTTCCACCCCAGAATGCACTTGTAGTTCTAGAGGATGCAGCAGACGAACATGAAACCAGAGAAGCACAGGTGGTGGTCACTCCTGGCTCCCCAACACCAAGCCTCCCACCTCTGCCGTCACCCATCCCTGAGAATGAGCTCCCCTTGGAAGAAATCGAGCTCAGCATCAGCGAGATCCCACCCCCACCACCAGTAGAGGTAGACGTGAGAAGCATTGGTATCCGGGTCACGGAGGAAAGCCTGGGCCTCGCCACGGTGGATACCGGCAGCATCTCTAGCCTCAAGCAGCAACTCTCCGACCTTGAGGGAGAGTTGTCTGGAAGAACTGAGGAACTGGCCCAGGTCAGAGCTGCCCTCCAGCAGCAAGAGGAGGAAATCAAGGCTAGGGAGGAGAGGATTCAAGAGCTAGAGTGCACTGTAGCTCAACTGACAGAAAAGCTTAGCCACGAGAACACCAAAGTCGCTCAGGGCCAAACCGATGCCGTGGTCAATACTGACCCTCTCCACGGATTCTTGAGCAGGGAGTTGTGTGACAAGAGCATTGGGGTCAACCTTCTGAGCAGCACAGGATCTGAAAGCTGGGGGGCCAGAGGAGAGGAGAACGGCCTCCTATGTGGGCAGGACAGTCACAAACAGGGGGATCAGAGCCCAGCAGCATTTGTGCCACCATCCAGGTTGTCACTGCCACAGGGACCCAAGATGGTCCTCGCCTCCTCATTACATAGCTGCCTCTCCACTGAGCTCAGGATTGAAGAAGCAGGCTCTGAGCCAGAGGGAGACCCTCAGGTAGGAGCCGAGGGTCTGGTCAGGGGGGCAGGTAGCTCTTCATGGAGCAGTGACATAAAGGCTC